AGAGAGAGAGAGAGAGAAGAGAGAGAGAGAGAGCTCATAAAAAATGAAGGCTAAAGCATATTTCTTCATTTCGGCATCTATGAAAGACCTCCCTGTATTTTACATCTTTACTGGCATGTTGAAATTTTTTTTTTTTCATAATCGAAAAAAATAAAAAAAGAAATTCTCCCAAAAAAAAAATGAAATGCATTTCATCGTGTTTTTTTTGCGCGTGTGGGTGTGTGTGGGTGGATAGGGTGAATGCATATGTGGGTGGATGCGTGCGTATGTGGGTGGATACAGGTGGATGCGTGACTACAAAAGGGAAATGTGATAAACTGTGAAATCAAATAATTAAAGTGTTTTATTGTTTGAAAAGTAAATAAATTCTCAAAGGAAAAAGTAATAGTAATTTGAAATTGTAATATTTTGAAGGGAAAAAAAATGTTGAAGTTGAAAGAGAGGGAAAGAGAAAGAGAGAGAGAAGGAAAGAAAATGTAAGAGAAAAGAAAAAATTAAAAACAAGTTTTTTTTTTGTTGAACGAAATTTGATCATAGATGATGATGATGATGATGATGATGATGATGATGGTATTTGGTTATAATTTTTAAAATTATAATTTGTGGTTGGGTGAGATTTTGACAAAATGTTACAAATTGCTCAAATGCACTTCATCATGCTCCTTTGCGCATATCGATATGCATGTGTGGGGAGGGGTGTGTAGGTGAGTATATGTGGGCGTGGATATGTATCTGTGTGTGTGTGTGTGTGTATGTGTGTTTATGTGTATGTGGGAGAAAAACGAGTGGGAGGAAACAACTAGTCAGTTATAAATAAATATTTATGATCAAATATTTCTGTAAAAGATGAAAAGTTTTGTTAATAAAAATAAATATTTGTTAAAATTTGACAATTTCTTTTTTATTAAAGAAAAAAAAACGAAAGAAGTAAAAGAAGAATTTAAAAATTTAAATGTAATTAATTTTACAAATAAAAACTGAATATGATGAGAAAGAATAGGAATAGAAATAAAAATAGGAATAAGAATTAGAAGTGTGAATAAGAGCAGGAATAGAAAAATATGAATTGGAATAAAAGATGGGAATAGGAGTAGGAACAGAAACAGGAATAAGGATAAAAAGAAGAAGAAAAAGCTATATATACCTCACAATAGAAATCAATTTTAAAACTAACAGAGCAAATATTCTTTTGGTTACAAACATTACATCATCATATCTTTCGTCGGAAATAAAATTTCAAATTATTTGTTGTTATCTACCATGTGTGGGTGGTACATGCACGCACTAATGTGTGTGTGTGTGTGTATGTGGGTGTGTGTGCGTAGGTGTATGTGCATGTGTGCGTGGGTGCACATATACGTCCGTAGGTGTACATATACAATACTAATACAATAATGAACCATCAATTTTCCCTCAATTTTTTTAATCTTAGGTAAAAAAAGAAATTACGATATTAAGTTTCAAATATATATATATATATATATAATATCGTAATTCTTTTTATTC